GGGACCTGGGTCTCATTTCTGCAACCGTTCCTGCTGATTATCCAGATTCCCCTCATCTCTGATAGCTGAAGGTGYCCTTGCTTGCTGAGCTCTGATGGCATTATCCAAGTATATCTGCCATCACTGACCCCCTTTATCATAGAACTTGTACCACTGACTACTTTAAGAATGCTGGAATAGTCAGCCCCTCTCACAATTAGAATTTTCTGTTTCCACTGGTACCAGCAGGTAGGAGAATCCTTTCCTTAGGCCTCATTTTATTAGAAGTTAAGTGGGCAAAGTCTATCTAACCTCAGATATGACAGCATCACAGATGTTCATCTCACTGATCTTACACCCCACCCCAGAGTTGATGACCAAGGATGGATTAGCTTAATGCCTTCCTTCAGGAAGATCAACCTCTTAACCAGAAATACCATTTCAATGACAGCWTCATGGAGGAGAATTTGGAAGCCAGAAGGGATTTTCTGGCATCTCTTGAATCACTCTACACAAAGGTCACTTCACAGTTTTTACAACTGAAGAGAGTTCCTTTCTCTGTAATTTATATGAAGTTGAAGAGGAAGACATGATGAGGGTAATCACTGACCCTTTCACAAGGAAATTAAGAAATGAACTGCTGGGTAGAGAATCTTGTAATGGGTGCTAGAAGCAATCTTTCTGCCTGGACCTCAAAAAATGTCATTATCCCTGGGTTCAGAATCTGATTGATACTGACCTCAAGCCAACCTATGAATTATAGTTTAGTTCAGAGAAACATCTTTTACTCATCAAAAGAGAAAATACACATGCATGTTTTCTTTGCATTTTCCTAAAAAATGGATTTAGTCACTTCAGAAACAAAAGAAATAATTTAGAATCGAATCAAGTTGAGGTAAATATTCTCAAAATATAAGAATGTTTTCCCTGTTCATCATGTTAAAATTGGTAAGTCTCCTTTTTAAATTGACCCTGCTTGTAGTGGCTCAGTTGTTTTCAAAATTCTCAGATGTCTTGCTATTTACCACAAATATTAAGTAACACTTGCACCATTCTCAAATGAAATTCATAGATAATTCTGCCATTTAAAAATGAATTTTGTAACCTTCCTATAGTAATAAGGTACACAGTATAAAATATAATATAATATATATATATTTACAGTGTTATAACTACAAATGAGTGATAAGAGGAAAATGATTTATAATAAAATAATATGTATGTCAGTGTATACTCAGGCATAATCACAAAGACAGACAAAGCAAAGCATCCTGATGTTGTCATCTGCATTGGAATACCTACTGAATACAACTGAAATTAATGCTTGAAGGTATGTTGCATTATATTTTAATATCATACGTAACATTGCTATCAATTGTGTAAATTTCCAGAGGAATGAACAACTATTTTATTCTGGGGGAACCAGAATAAAATATTTCCTCAAAACTCATGGTATTTGGGACAGGAGTACTCGGGCACACCTGTGGCTCAAGAGGCTGGTGCAGGAGGATTGTGAGTTCAAAGTCAGCCTCAGCAACTTAAGGAGGCCCAAAGCAACTTAGCAAGACCTTGTCCCAAAATAAAGAATAAGAGGACTTGGGATGTGGTTCAGTGGTTAAGCACCCCTGGGTTCAATCCATGATACACAMAAAAAAAAATCCAGATTCTCTGAGAGAAGTTAAACCTCAGTTGGAGACAGAATCTAAAGAACCATCTGATGATCTATCTGAGGCTGAAGTTAATGCCACATTGGACATAAACTTTTCAAAAATTCTAACTTCAAAAAATTCTTACCATACAAAAAATACTATGAATTTATAAAACTGAATAAAAATCAAATGTTCTGATTATTTTCAGTGCATTTCAATTTATGAATTTTTGACAGATAATTCAAATAGAGAGCAAGCACAACCATTAAATTAAAAAAAATAGAGAGAGAGCAAGACCTACACAATTCTTTTCTATGTAGACAACTGTATCYAAGTTAAGATACTTGTCCTTGGCTCCACCTTCAAGTACTAGTAATCCTCTCTTAAAATGATGATATCCAAAAATGGTCCTTGGGATCAATGTTATCCCTATACCTGGGTTAGATCAGCTCTTATACCAATTAAAGACAAAGAACAGGCAACTTGAAATTATTCTATTTATTTCATTAACACTGATGTTTTATTTTACAGAGTGTGCATTTTCATCTTTGGATAATATTTCTTTTATAGGCCCACATAACTAGGCCTTTTATTATAACAGAGAGAAGCATAATTGCCTGACCTCAACATATCTAAAATCTGGAAAAGGTCATAACACAAACTGTAAGGTAGAAGATATTATGATAGAAATAATATAAGAAGAGAAACATAATAAAATTTTCACAAATAATTTTTGAAGGCAAAATATTTTACTCTATTTCTTTATTTTCTTATACATTTAGTGGACATTATCAATTTTCTTAAAGTGTTCATGTCTTAGTAATTGTCTCGAAAACGTTATGGAACAAAGAGAGAAATAAAAAATTAGGAAAATCAGTTGGAAGAGAAATCACATAATAAATGAAAGCAATATAATTGAAAAGAGAAAAAATGACAGATAAAAGAAATTTAAAATAGRAAAAAAAAAACGGGAACTAGAAATGTTCCCAGTATGTTGCTGTTTTTTCTTCCTCAGAATTAATTTCTATGAATCAGCAATTTTAACRCTAGAAACTCACAGAGCTAATTCTTATTCCCTTGATGTATTTGTGGATCCATAAGGTGACAGCCAATTATGGAACTTCTAAATCATGAAGCTATCTATACCTTGCTGAAAAAAAAAGTTCTCAATTCATTCAGTAGTTCTATTCTTACTATTAGTTACTGCAGGTTTTCTGCAGCATTAAAAACATGCAACTGGATTTGTTTCTTGGCAAATTTAGATTATAAAATTTTGAAGGCAATAGAAATATCAGCAGGAGGGAACTAAAATCCACGTGCATAGTATCAACCTAGCCATTAATAGACATTCGTGAAATAAAATGTGGCACATATCACAAGTTACAAAACAATGGAAAAATGCTAATCTGAATTTTGCAAAAACTCCAAATTATTTAGTATTTTGAAGGTTACATTTTTTATTATTTTTCAGTACATTTGTTCATTCATTCCTCAAATATTCAGAAAACTTTCTTGATACAGTCTAATCTCTTACAGCCTAAATTAATGGTTACTCCATACATTTACCAAAAGTTTTTAAGAATGTAGTTTTCATTTTTAAAAAATATATAACTTTAAGAATGAAATGAAATTCAAAAATTTCAATAGAACTTTCTGTAACAAAAGAACATTTAAATTAACTGTAGCCCAAGACATCTAGAAATTCTTCCAAAATACGGAAAAGGAAAAAATGTTAATCATCTCTCTTGGGAACTCATTTTAATGCCTAGCAGCACATTGATCAGGAATATTCTCTAGGTTACAATTTCACCATTGTTTAGATATATTCAGTAACCTTATACATGATTTTTGGAGGAACAGTACAATTGGTGATCCTGAACACAGACCCCTATGACCTTAAACTTGACCTTTCAGTAGACAAATCTAGAGGGATGGGAAGGACAGTGGAAGGAGATGAACATTATATCTTATATACATGTATGATGACATTTCTGGTGTGACCCTGCACCATGTTCAGCCAGAGGAAGGAGAAGTTGTGCTCCATTTATGTACAATGTGTCAAAATGCATTCTACAGTCATGTATAACTAAATAGAACAAATATAAAATAAATAAATAAAGTAATATTCTAGAAAAAAAGGACATATCTAGAAATCCTTGTTCTAGCAGTAGTCCACGAGATCTGTTTCTCTTCATGTCTAAATACTGAACTTCTCACCAGTTATGATTACCCAGAGAAATTTCATACTATTTCTCCCTTCATCTCTTTTTGCCAGTATGAGTTGGATGGATCATCTTGTCTGGTGTATTGAGAGCTAAATTATAACCAAGATTAACCTACCTAAGGTGAAGAGGCATGAAAAGAACTAGACAAGCTGAGTCCAGTCCAAACCCCAAGAAAAGATCATGCTTCTAGCTGAGGAAATTAGAATGAGCTAATGAAACTAGTACCCGTTAGACCTATGTTGCCTGAATGGGCCAACCAAACATTTCATACTAGAAAATAATGCAATCTCATATTTGGGTAACATTTCTTCTGTAGGCCCACATTAGCCAGCCTTTTATTATAACACAGACTCATAGAGAGAAAAGCATAATTGCAACTCCATGTGGAGTCATCATCAGTGGTCTTTGTATGGGCATCTTTTGGAGACCACAGGGATCAAGTAAAGATTGAGATGAGTGCTCTGTAATTTTATACTACTTTTGTTTGGCTGGAGCAAATAATGAATGGTATTCTTACTGTAAGCACAAAATGATGGATGCAGACCTCAAAAGATTCAGAGATGYCGTTTATTCATTCACAGACTCAGGCACCATAGGGGTTCATTTTCTGGATGAGAAAGTGGCCTTCAGTCACAGAGGATACAGTGAGGGTGGTTTAATCATTGGAAACTGTGGATGTGCCCTTTGGACAGTCAGGGGCTAGTGGTGCAGGTTAAAACTTTTACTCAGGAAAGCAATGGTTAAAAAGGTTGAAACTCATTGTTACCTGGAGAGATGGGAGTCCAGATCCTGAGAGATGTATCCTCAAATCTCACCCATTGCTTTTCTTTCTCTGGGATTCACTGTTTCCCAGAGTTTCCATATTTACTGAGTCTCCATTTAGGACTAATTTGCTATGGGGGAAGGTCCAAGTCCATAGCCCAGCATTCAGAAGCCACTCCCTTCCTTCAGGGCCCATTGTTATTGGGAAAGGACTCACCGACAGGTTAATGCTTGGCTAGTTTTCTCTCCCTCCTCTGGAGCTGCACCATCTCTCCGCTTTTCTTCTGGGGCTGTCTGGTTGGAATATTATTTTCCATAGCCCTCCACTTACCTCCCTGGACTATTTCCACTCCCAATACAAAGAAATGACTATGGTGGTTCATGGCTAACGGCACAAAAGGCAATTCCATAGGTCAATTATCTTTTGCTTAAACCAATGGCTTCCCCCTAGAACAAAGAGCAGTAAATCACAGCAGCTAATGGCTGTGACGCTCAGGAAGATTTCGTTGTAAAATGCAACATTGTTATTGCAGCCCTTGGTTTGTGCCACAACATGCAAGTAATAGATCCTGAAGAACTGGTAGGGAAGAAAACAAATAAGGATGATGCCTATGAAGAATAGATTCTTCAGCTGAGCCCAGAACTCCTGGTGGGACAGTAAGGAGTGGCTTAGCTTCCGCACCATGGATATAGTGATGAAGATCTGGAAGACCAAGAGAATCACTGCAGTGGTTATGACAATAATGACTATTATGTAATTGATGACTTGCACATACTCACGACCAAGTTCCTTATGGAAATTAAAACAGTGGTTTTCATTGTACTCCTCATTATTTCCATACTGAGAAATGACCAGGGGTACCACAATGACAATCACCAAAAGCCACATGCCTGAACTGGCAGCAACCGCATGTAGTTTTCTGTAGAATTCCACTTTGTCCTGGCGCTTGAAGAAGATGAGGTACCTGATAACCAGGATCACCAGGTAGAAGAGGAAGGTGAGGTACATGTGGATGTGCAGCATGGCACTCACAAATTTGCAGAAGGGCAATCCAAATGTCCAAGTCTCCTTGATGAGGTAGGACAAGCGGAAAGGTACTGTCAGCAGAAAAACACTGTGGACCACCACCAGGTTCACGACTGCTGTGGTCGTCACGGACCGGGTATTCATTTTCACCAGCAGGAACAAAATGGAGATGACACCTGTCAGTCCGCCAATGAGCACTACAAAGTAGAGCCAGGTTAAATGAGGAGTCAGTATAGGATCACAAGAGGAATTCCTGGAGATATTGTAACCAGCCATTCTTCAGACATCGCCTGGAAAAGAAAAACCACTGATAAACTTCCAGAGTTTCTTTCAGAGTACCTTTAAGGCACTGACGACAACATGGCTTGCAATTTACCTATTTACATGATGTAAACTTTATGTGCCTTAAGAATGAAGATTAGGTCATATGCATGTTTGTGTATTTTAAATCTGAAACACAGCAGTCATTGTTTCAGTCCATTTCTGTTGTTATTAACACAATACCACACATTAGGTGACTTTATAAAGACACTAGGTTTATTTTGGCTCATGGTTCTGAAAGTCCAAGGTCAAGGTGTTACCCTTAGTGATGGCCTTCTTGTTGCAGACTTTCTAGGTGTCACGGAGACAAAGAGCATGCATATACGTCTATGCCTCTCCTGGTCTCTCTCCCTCTTTTATAAAGCACCACTAGGATTCATTTATGGGGATGCCACCCTGAAGAATTTATCTAACTCTAATCCCCCCCCAAAGATGCCACCTCTGAACCACATGATTGGAYTAAGTTTCCATCCTCTTAATACCTCACAAAGGGGATGAAATTTGAACACGTGAAACCTTGGAGAACATGCACTAACCATATCTAAACCATAACAGTCATTGATTCTTAATCTTTAATAGGAATAAAAATCTAATCTTAATGAGAGATGCTGCCAGAAAAACACATAAATACACACACACACACACACACACACACACACACACACACAAGGCAATCTGCATAAATCTTAAGAGAATTACAGCCCATGGGGGAAATACTAGTACTATAATAACCACTAGGAAATATTTTTATACAAGATATTTTTTTAAGCATGATTCTAGTTCTCTAAATCCTTCCTTAGGGAGACTCAAAGAGATTCAAATTGAATTGTTCACTCAGTACCTGACCTTTGTAATACATTTGCAAAATTATTCTTATTCATTCCTTGAATATCTCTTCATACAATGGAGATGGATTGAAAGATGAATGGATGGATGAAATGATGTAAGATATTTTAAGAGCATGATTCTAGTTCTCTAAATCCTTCTAACTTGCTCTTAAATGACCAGAGAATATTCACACTTAATTCATTTATGATACTGATTTATTTGAGAAAAATTTAGATAAGTCAAGGCAGCAACAAGAAATAGGAAGGTTCATCTGAATTTTTCATCGTACTTATATTTTCATGTAACTGGGAGATCTGACTGTTAAATTTAACAGAGCCCCTATAAAAACTGGGCATGCCCTTCCCATTCTCCTAGTCCCTGCTTTCAAACATAGAAGAGGGCAATTGTCATTCCTCCTCCAGACTCCTGAAAGATCCTCCCCCCAAATTATTCAAATCCTCATACTCCATCTTCAACTTAGTTATTATTAAAGATTTAGAAGTCTTTCAATTTCACTAACAAGTTATATCACATTTCTTACTTAAAGGCCTTCAATGGCTTCCCATTTAAGATAAMTATCGATATCTTTACATATCTAGAATGTTCTGGGTTACAATGGCAAAGTCTGATCCTTTGAGACCAGATTCAAGAAATAATCAAACTTTGATGGAATGCACATGGGGACGTRAGTGGTACAGAAGAGCCTTAATCACGCCCAGCTTTCTGACTTGAACAATTGCCTTGACACCAGGGAAACTCAAATAAATTCAATTTGAATTTTTCACTCAGTACTGGACCTTTGGAACATATTTGCAATTATTTTTCTTCATTTACATAATGGAATATGTCCCAGCAATACAAATGAACCTACTTTTGATATACATGACACTGATGAATCACAAAAACATATTAAATCATATATATATATATTCTCAAGAAGGTAACAGTGCCCTAAAGGTGCAAAAAAAAATATTGTCCTTGATGTATGTCATGGTTTAGATATGAGGTGTCCCCCAAAAGTCCATGA